GAGGTTTTCCATAGACCTCCATTTCCACTGACCTCCATTTTGCATTACAATCATTCTGAAGATTTCTTGGCATGTCTTCCACATCTTGTTTACTCTTCTTTTTTAAAGATTCACAAGATTGGTTGTTACCGTATCATTCATCTTGCAGCAAAGGTTTGTGACCTGCAGCACTGCATTGTACAGTATCAGCCTCACAAAATGTGCCTTTACTGGTTCCGTTGGAATGGAAGATGTGGAATTCGGATAAATAGTAAATACTGCAGTAGCATTGCTTGGGAAAAGGCTTGCCTGGGACTTTTGAATCAGCATACCTTCTCTTTTATTTTTTTTCCTCATTTCATTTTGGTCTGTTAAATGGTAAAATACAGCTCTTTCTTGAAAGCTCTCATAGATATTAAGTTCAAGGTTACATAATAACTGCATACTGTACATTGTGATTATCCATGGACACATTTGATCATTTTCATGAGATTTTGGGTATTTCACTTACTGTACATTATTATGTCTCTGTTGAATGGTAGGGTTAAATATTCAATTTCAAGTACAAGAAAGTATTACAAAATGAGAATTTTCATAGTACTGTACTTACATGTAGCTTGCAGTTCTAATTTATTGGTGTCAAGTCTTTCCAGAAGTTCACAAACTATTATTCAAGTTCTACATGAATAGCAGTTTGATTTAAATAATTTAAAGCCTCTTTTACCTAGGTATAAAGTAATGTATTATTCAGTTAAGGTTTTTTTTAACTGCCAAGAATGAAGCACATCTCTGTGAATTCTAAAAAAATACTAAAACAGTAAACTGATTAAGATCAGATTACCGGTTACATTATAAAATGTGCACTGACTTTTAAATGTCAAAACACTTATTTAAATTCGATTTAGTTTAATGGAACTATTCTTTCAGAACAATTAAACTCAAATACAGAATGTGTATACTAAGGCAGAACTTTAGATGAAGTAAGTTACATACACAGCTGAAGAGACAGATATGTTGTACAAAATGTTTATTGAGACGACAAACTGCACGGTACTGTATGCATAAAGATTATTCATTGTTGTAAAAACATACCAGATAAGTTTCATAAAGACTAACATAATCACCTACAGTAGTAATCATTATTACCTCCTACAGTATATTAATTTTGTGTACACAACCTTGAGTGATACAAACCATATTTCAGTGGATTCTTCAAATTGGCACTTTTCTGCATCTCATTTAATCGCTTTGCATTAATATTCAAAATCTTTATTTATAAAGTGTTTCAACACTCCCACAACCAGTGGGAGGGATTTTGAAATACAGCCCTTCAGCAACTCTGAGGAAAACCTCCTTAAATGTAGAGGTGTACTGTATTAACAGACCAATTTGTGTCATCCTGTCAGATGGTGAGTTCAGCCTTTTTCTCTTAACTTTACTCGTAAGTTGCTTTTCTGCATTACACAAGTCGCATTTTTATTTGACTACAGTTAATCTTTAACAGCAACAATAAAGCTAATGATGTATTATTCTATTCCTTTCTCTGAAGCACTGCAAATATTCGCGATAAAACATTTTTAAGACAGACATGAACATTTTTTGGATGATGTTTAGATCATTAGATGGAGTAAATATAAAAATATACTGCATTTACTGCATATGCTTCAAAGTGCAGTTTTTATTTGTGATCAATACTTTTTGCTTAATTTAAGCTGGAAGTCCCAAATCAGTCTTTCTGTCAAACTAAGCCTGGTGCATGGGGGGAGCAGGCACACAACATTAGGGAAAAGAGAAATTAAACAGCTCTTTTCAGTGTGAACTGAGAATGCTGATAACTGGTCAGACTGAAAGGATGTTTTTTATATAAAATAAGTAACTAAGCAAGGATTCTCAATGCACAAAACAATAGCTCCACTCGTTGACACACATACTGACATAGACACTAGCAAGATTAGCCACAAAACCTGACACAGCTTGTTCTGCTGAATAGCTGACCTCTCTAGGAAAAGTCTTTTTTATTCGACTAGCAACAACTATGGGACATTTTTACTTGCTGGTGATGTCCCTGTCCCCATCAACATCTCACTATCATTTTTTATTTGACTCTGGCTTTCTGATCATGAGGTATGACAGATGCAATCACTGGCATTCAATAGAGTGTGACTTTTTATCAAATAAAAAAAAAACTTGTGATTATGCTAGATTTTTCAAGTTTAACACGTACGTTCATCAGAACATAATTTAAAGGTCTAAATAACTTTAATCATTTAAAGTACTGTATGTGGTTGCTTATTAATATTTTTCACCTCATACAGAGTCCACCCATCAGAACGTTTGTCATTTCCTCCACTGTGCCATGGATGGTCTGCAACCTCTTTTCATCTTGCTTACTTTTATCTGGCATATCAGAGGAAGTCTAGGCTGCTTATGTGATCGCTACCCATGGACTGCATGGACAAGCTGTTCCAAAACCTGCAATTATGGAACTCAGACCAGGGAAAGGTCAGTATAACCTCTAAGGTGACCATAATTACCCTGTTTTAGATTAAGTTTAGACCCAGCACATTATGTATAAACCATTTAAATTGTCATATAAAATTGATAAATAAAAGACTATAAGTCTATTCATAAATAAATGAGGCATTAAATGTGTGCAGTCAAAGACATTTTTCACTATTGTTAACTATATCAAACGAAAATGTTGTAATAAAATCTAGCCAGTGGATTTTGGGAGGTTGGAGGAAAACAGAAAATAATCTTACAAAGACAAGAACAGTTTGCAAACTCCAAATACACATGAGGTCAGAATGAAAAAAAAAAAAACAGAGCCCTGAAGCTGTGAGGCAGCAGCAACAACCACCACAGCAGCAGGCCGCCCTGATAAAAAATACGGCAACACAACAAAGCAATACACTGCATAATGTAAAACTGTTGTGGTGGCACCTTCCAGTGATTGGAGAGCCATGTGACTGGGGAGATTGTACTCCTTATCAGCAGATTCCTCACAAACAGCTGTCAGGATCAGATAAGACAGAGAATTCAGGATCTCTTCTCCAGGGCAATACTGAACCCCTGTAGTAAATTGCACTAGCAAGCCAGCAGCTTGTTGCAACAAGCAGACAACTTAGAACACATTCCATACGGTACTAATTTAGAGTGAAAAACCCAGGTATATTTAAACCCAGGAATTTGGTCTCACACAAAACAAAATTTGCAGGTACTGTAAGAAGAAGTGCAATTATCCACCCTTACCCTCTAGTGAAATAGAAAGTCCCCAGATGCCATAATACATTATACAATGTGCAGTGCATAAAAACTAACAGCACAAATGACTTCAAAAATGATCTCAGACTGATTAGCAGGTGTCCATCATTTGCATCGGACAAATTTCTCATTGGCCTTTATCGGTCATGGCCTCCTAAAAATCCCCATCAATTAATTGGCTTAAATACTCTGTTCTCCTTCCAACTGATGTGAGGTGAGCGTACTGGCACACTACATCTGCCGTCACGTCATCCAGGTGCGGCTGAACATCGGTGGTGGTGGAGGGGAGTCCCCATTACCTGTTAAGCGCTTTGAGTGGAGTGTCCAGAAAAGCGCTATATAAGTGCAAGAAGTTATTATTTTAAAATTATTATGACTCCCAATCCAACATTGGGATCGATTTTCTCCACAGAAATTCTGTTTCTTTACTTCAGGACATTGTGGCACAGTGTCATGTGTCATACTGAAATGTCAACCTACTGCACATCTGATGACTCTACAACTAGCAGATGTTTCCAGCCAACAGTAATGTAAATTACATAATGCATTTGCATCTACTGTAGATCAAATACTAAGAGGATTCCAGTTCCTGAAGTATTTTGGCTGACCCATATCATTATGAAACCTTTGCTGTGCTTGATGGTGTACTTATTACATTTTTCGTTAAGGCACTTGCTTTTTCTTTGTGCCTGAGCATTTGACCCTGTGAAAGAGACACATTTCAATTCACAAGAGGATGCTCATGGATCAATGAACGCCCAGGAACTCAGCTGAAAGTTTTATGTAGATGTTGTTATGGTATACTGTTTTTGTTCCAATTCATGGCTGGTGGAGGAGCTGGAGCCTATTCCAGTAAGCAATGGGTGCAAGGCAGGATACAGTACATCATGGAAGAGATACCAGTCCACTGCAGTGCAGGCAGATAAAAACACAGACACACAATAATGTCTAGCGCAATCTTTTCCAGAAGCCAATTAATCTACCAGTACATCTTTGGACTGTAGGAGGAAACCTACAGTATGTGAACACAGAGAGAACATACTGTACAAACTCCAAGCAGAAAACACCCTGGTTCTGAAATTGAACCCAGGACCCCAATACTGCAAGACAGCAATGCTAACCACTGTGCTACCATTATCTCCTTCTTATTCAGTTTAATCATGTTTACTTCTAAATTGTTTTATTCACTTTTATAGTTCAGTTGTACAGACAGATCAACACATTCAATACACAGACACAGTGGTATTGTAGCTTTTTAAATAATAATGTGGATTTTAATCTGCCAAAACATTCTCACTTCACTGTCAGTGGAGGCTTCTTACACCTTTGCCATCCAATTTATTGTTCTGCTTTAACAGATTTTAATCTCTCAGAGGGGTTTTGTATTTTGTATGTTCTTTAAAATTACATGAAACTATTCACATTAAACATTAAAACTGTTTTTTGACAGTTTTGCTTTAGAACTCAATTTTTGAGCTTGTGTCTTACACTTCAGTCATGATCCTTGTGAAAGTAATCAGTTTCAATTCTAAATAAGCTCTACAATCCTCTAATGAGAGTCAATCGCAGAACTTATGTGTCAATAATCACCTAAGCATTATACAGTATATCTGTTTTTCTATAGGAAAAACAATGTTAGCATGTGAACATATCAGTATTAGGCATCTGTTGTTAAAGCCAGGGTATTTAAGTTCTATAACATTGGAGGGAAAGTCTGTGTATCACACATGAGGCCTTTACCATTTGCTTTTTTTCCTTCATCTACTACCTGTGACTCAGCATTTTCCAGCTACTTTACATGAATTTTCATTCACCTACAGTATGTGAACACTCAGCACACAGATTGGCATCAGTAAAGATCATCAAACTCTTGATGCTAAAGAGCCCTGGCAAGGACTTGTAAATTACACACTTTTATTTTTAGACTACAATCTTTTGTAGTTATTTTGGATTACTTTAAATTTGGAAATTTAAATTTCATCCTTAATGTAAGTAATGACCTCAGCCAGGGTGTATCCTGCCTTGAGCTACTTGCTTGCCAAGATAGGTTTCAACTCTCCTGCAACCCTGTATTGAAAAAAGTAGTTAGAAAATTGAAGGATGAAATAATTAGAGGGAACAAACAAGAAATGTGAATAAATTCTCATTTGCTATAAGAACAGCAGCATGCCTATTGGAACAATCTGAATGAAGAGCTCAAGGGTTTAACAGCAGTGTGTCAGTGTTAATCTGATCAAACAAATTTACAGAACAGATCCCTCACCAGTACTCCATGATATTGTCCTGTTACACTTGTTTACCATAGTTTAGTCTATGGCATATTAAACTTTCTTCTGTAGTGTGAATATCCTTGCAAGGATTTATAATGAATCCCAAAAAGCATGTCAGGTCAATTTAACTAAAGAGGCTCATTTCAACTATGGTTTCATATTCTCTCTAGGGAAAAGGTCTACGATGATTATTACCACAAAAACTACTGTTCCCAGCTTTGCACCTTCTCTGAAACCAGAGCATGCAATCAGGAAGCATGTCCCATCAACTGTCTGCTAGGGGATTATGGACTCTGGTCTCAGTGTTCTCCTTGCGCTAGAAAGAAGGTAAACTACGAAAGCTGATTTACTTACACAAAAGTATGTGGTATAACATGATTCTTAATACTATCAAGTGTAAAAACGAAAAACTATAATATTAATACTAATAAAAAATTATATTTTTATTTAAAAAATGACTTCCAGCAGTCGCATGAATGTGAATAGCCACAGGAGGTCAGTGTCTCAACACAAACAAACTGTGTACACTGTAGCAGCAAAGTAAGGAATATTGTATACTGTCAGTACTGTCAGAACAGTACACAAGTGTAACACAGTGTACAATATTGTTATTATTGTCCTTACACAAATAACTTTTAAAACTGTTCCAGGGCATTGGTTTAATTTATTCAGAGTAGAAAGTGGGAGCTTAGAGAAAAAAAAAAACTAAATGAATAAATGACGGAATAGATTGTTTAACACAGTAGTCTAACATGTTTTCTGCAGTTTCGGACAAGGCACCTTTTGAGGCCCACACAGTTTAAGGGCCAGCCCTGCAGTGAGATACTGACTGAGGAAAGAAATTGTTACCCAACAGAGCTCTGCAGCATCAAAGAGATGGACTGCAGCACAAAGTTCTCCTGTAAAAATGGTATGAAGAATCTGTAATAGAAGTGATCAAACAGGCCCAGGCTGTTTTGTTTTGTTCTTTTTATGTACTGTATTTAATCAGCAGAACTGTAATAACGACAATTCAGCATACAGTTAACATAATACATGTCTATCATTTACAGGGTATCTTCATTGTGTAACTTATTCACCTCTTGAAACAAGTACTGTTAGAAAGTGATGATGAGATGCCAGGCCACTCATTTTATATATTTCATTTACACAACTTTAGAGAAAGGATATGAAATCTCAAGACTTCTGTTGAATTTGCAAACTGTATGGTCGGTCTGGTTTGTAGGGAAAACCAGTTCAGGGACGCCAAATATGTAATCATAGTGGCTCTCTGAAGGCACCAGTTCTGTAGGGTTTGGGCATTTACTGAGACAATTATTAATTGTAGCAGTAAATCACAAAGTTGATTCTTTTGATGGCTTTAGAATCCAACCATGCGACATAACTCAAACAACGCGCACACACAGGTACTAATACACGAGGATACATTTATTAATACATAGAATATGCATATAAACCTAACAGATCTTATCGAGAGGGTTATCAGAATACAAAAGGTATATATTCAGTCAGTTACAAAGTGTTACATATATCAAGAGGACATACGTTCAGCATATCATTCATTAAGACCGTTTCGTAAATGAACTTGGTTATAACTTCTACATTCGATACTCACAACAAGTACATAACTCTTAGGAATTAAATTGATATCAACTGGTTGGGATAACAATTGAATTCTCGAGCTGTAATGCATTGAAGTTGAATACTCATCCAATCTTTGGGGATTCAGATCTCCTGCGGGCACAAAGAAACAGTTGCAGGCTGTTGCTGTCCAATCTGCGCTCTCTGGCTCGGTGCCAGGCTGTGCTGTGCGGCTTGCGACGGTGCGCTGCTGTTGCTCACTGACCGGCTAGTTAGTGTTGGCTTTAACTAGCAAAGTTTGTGCACAGGAGAAAAGATGACTGTGGGTCCCAGCAAGTCAGGAAGAGGACCGGTTCGTTCCTGATGAGGAGCTAGATCTGAATAGTGATTCAGCTGTCCACAGTTCCGACCTGTTCACAAGGCCTGCTGCTGGTTACTCTCTGGCAACCTCCACTCTAGACTCTTAGAACAAAGGAAAGTTCTGGCACTCGGACACACTGGCCGTTCCGTGGTTGTCCGGGCTGAGTCTCAGGATGGCGCGCTGCGAGAATGTCCTGCCCTTGGGATTCTCCTTTGAATTCCTTTTAGAATCTTACTGAATCTTGTTGAATCTGAATCTGAATCTGAATCTCCATCTGAATCTAACAGGCTCTCTGTGTTGCCTGTTTTTACCTGGAGGAACTTCAGCTCATTGATTGGCTGAAAGTTCCATGGGCATCAGAGTCCCACGTGGGTTACTCAGCCCTACCAGTCCCTGATTGGTTGATCAAGGTGAGATATGAGTCACTTACTCCTGACACTTAGTAATGCAGTCCAGATGTCCAACTGGCACTCCCTAGACAGATAGGCGCCAATGGATGACCATTGATCATGATAGCCAGGCTTAGCTAAGTGCATCCCCCTTTGGGAGCTGTCCTAATCAAAAGAAAACATCTTGCATGAATGGTTTCTCTGTGGCTGCACCACAGAGATGAACAGAGAAATGGGGCCTCATTTGGGAAGCTCAGAAACACTTAATTCTGCCTTATTATTAAGCCTCGCCGCTACAGGTTCTCCCTTTAAAGGTTTGTACACTGAGTGGTGCTGTTTAAGAGACGTTAAACAGAAATCAATGCCCAGATGCTCGGAGCTCAATCCTCCGTGCACGGGGTGGTCGTGACACTCAATGATTATATTGGCCCTCCACTCTGTTTGTTTAACGTAGATGTCTGACAGCTGTAGCTGTTGTGTCCCAATCATTATGGTGGTTACCTTTACAATCCTGCTGTACTTAAAAGCTACTTAAAGAAGCTAGCTGTTTATTGTTTAATCTGTGGTACAATGATTTGTGTGCTTGAGGTCGCTGCATTCCCCAGACGTTGGAGTGCAATGATGAAAATGACTGTGGAGACAGGTCAGATGAGGAGTACTGTGCAGGTGTTAAAAAAGTCTGCAATCAAAGATTTGAAACCATCCCAAATGTTCAGCTGATGGGCAGTGGGTGAGTATAAAACATAAGAACAGTAGAAGAGACACAGCCTTTTATACCAAGAGTCAAAACACACTCTGACTTTTTAGAGATTCCAGGTGAACTGTACTGTACTGGCCCAGTCGATTTGTACTGTATGTATAAAATTTAATTCCAATACCCAAAATACTGTGGGCAAATGTTTGCCAGTTACTCTTTTTACAAATACATCAGCACTTCATTGTGAATTTACTGGGTTGCTTTCCTTGAATACTTGAACATGTACTGTGCTGAAAACTAGTCACCACTCAGTCTAGGGTTTTCCTGTCTTGTAAACTACTGTATGCTGAATTTTTACTGGGCTCAGATGGGGGTTTTTCTGGCTCAATGGTGACTCCAGATTAGCCCTTTGATTACTTTAACTACAGTAAAGACTTTCACTTAGGTTTGATATTATGGCTGAAGAGATCCGAGGTGAGGTTCTTGACAACACGTTCTACGGGGGTCAGTGCAACCTGACCAGAAGCAAAGACAGGAAATTTTATAGACTGCCAGCAAATATAGAAAATGTTGTTTTCAAGGTACGTGACTGTGTTACTGATACTTTGCAGAAAGAAAATGATGCAAAAGCAACAAAAAGACTTCAATATTTAAATATCAATCAAATTTAAAGAAAATACAAAAAATCAATATCTGATAAATAAGGCTACCCATGGAGTTTCCCCACTATATTTGATTATAAAACGATCAAAACGATTTAATCGCACAAGTTACTTGTCAATAAACTGTTGTGGTTCTGTAATAGGATCTCTGTACCATAAATTGTATGTACCTTTTACATAATTAGTTCTATGATGTCAAGATAATACAGATATCCACTGTAATCTAGAAGATAATAGTTTCATTTACAGTAGGTTCATAGACTAGAATAAGAGAACACAGACTATCATGACTTCTGGGAATGATGGATGAAAAAAATGATCAGAGTGATACTATGTATTACATGTAAGGAAAATAGGAATATTCCTCCACATGACTTTTTTGTTGTTTCCAGGTAGAAAAACTTGAGGATTATAAAATAGAGTCTGAGCCAGATACCAATCCTGTCAATCTGGCCTCAGAACAATCGACCAGTTCCAGTTTTTCTGGAACAAGATCAGAATTTCGAGGAATTCCGCTACTATTCTCCAAACGCACCAAACAAAATTCATGGGGCTCCTCATTCTTCAGGACAGCTGTGAAAGCATCCCAAAAGAAAGTAAGTCAATGAAAGGATGATGTGCATGTTTTTGATGCAGTACAGAACAATTGTACAAAAAAATTCTGAAATCACTTCAGGGGAGCTTAGTATTTTGTTGCTTTTTTGCTATTTTAAGCAAAATTCTAATTTTGTGAATTCAAATTCAGCTCAAGCTTTATTAAGATTTAATTGATTTATTTGAAAAAATATGTTTTTTTATCTAAAGAATAGTAAACAGGATAAGCGAGTATCGCTTATCAAATTATCGCTTGTCAAATGATGTAATGATGTTAACTGAAAAAACATACAGTATGATTTTGTTTCCTTGAAACATGCCTGAAGAAATGAGTTAAACTTTTGAAATTAAATTCTGTTTGCGGTTTGTTCTGATTTGTGCATTTATACTCTTCAGTAAACAGTAATTGCTTCTATTCTTTTTGTTGGAGATAATTGTGTATAATTCCACCCTTTTTGTAGGAAACATTTGTGAAATGTCCAACAATGTACTGTACATGTTACTGTTTGTCGGTGTTATATCATCATATAACATCATAGAACACATTTGGCTTACATTTTTTTAATAAATTGTTTATTAGCATGTACAGTATCTCATGCATTTTGCCTGCATCTTTTAATATATTCGAATGTAAAAATCCATAATTTATGGATCTATCTCCTGTATTTATGAACGTTTAATCAGGAGTATTTATGAAGCGCTTTTCTTCCCTGAAATAATTAAACAATAGACATTTTATGTTAATAAGCAAAATACATCTGTATAGACTTTTAGTTAATTATTATACTGTAAATAGCCATTTGACATTATTTTATGATGTCATTCTTTTCCCAAAAAGGATTCCAAATTCTTCCGTGTTCATCATGTGGTAGGAGTGTCCTCGTTCAGGATGAAGTCATCTGACCTTTACTTGTCTGATCCATTCCTGAGGGCCTTGAACAGTCTTCCCCTGGACTACAACTATGCATTATATATTAAAATATTTCAGCTCTTTGGAACCCATTATTTTTCCTCTGGAACACTGGGGGGCAGATATGACATCCTTTACCAGTATGACCGGGAAGAACTAAAAAATTCTGGTAAGTAGCAACTGACCAGATTAGTCTCTACTCTCTTTTAGAAAGATGTTTTTTTTATCAGAGCCATGGTCTGATAGGCCCTCCTGTTGCTGGTTCAGGTGTTGGTTACATCACTAGTCAACTGATCATAATTGGCACAGACTTGAGTAAGGCTGGGATTAGAGAGTCATGGGTCATTCAGCTGTCCAACAAACAGTGAGTCCTGTGAGTGTCAGGGTGCCTGCAGGTTTGCAGTCATTTCAGCCTGAGACACACAGCCTCTCTGTTGGTAGTAACTCTCCTGTGAGATGCTGCAGAGCCTGTAGTGTGTAAAATGACAAATGGCTCTGCAGGTGGGCTTGTCAGAGGAGCATGTCTATGTGTCTCACTCTCTGCCAAGGGAGTTTTGCTGAAGCTATAAAGCAGAGTCATATACTATGAAATGAGTGACACCAATTTAGGGGATGTAAAATAAATATATATATATATTTGCCTTTAATAAGAAATACAGTGCCTTGAGTAAAAAAATAGTATTTCTTATTTTTCGTACGACTGAAAAAGGTACATTATAAGAAAGCCTCTACTGCATTGGTATAAGAGCTGTATATAAAAAAAAAATGCAATCACAATTGCTGTAAAAATTCTGACTTTGCCTTAATTAGGCAAATCATCCAAATTAAGACCCACACAAGTATTTATGTGATGTTGGATACTACTGATAAACAATAAGGGCATATTATTATTTGTATGAGCTTAACATGCAGAGGTTGCATAGTTATATGGAAATGGCCATGTCCGGTTCTTAGTCGGTTCTGCTTGACCCAGGCTTGTCTGGGTAGGTAGCAGTTCAGTTGGCATAGGTCTAATGCACCTGGTGATAATGCGCATGCTGTTGTTCAGGGTTGTGTCTACCTTCTTCATGTGGCTGCTGTTGTGCCAGGCAGGAGAGCAGTATTCAGGTACCGAAAAGGATAGAGAAAGCATAGAGGTGCGTAAGAGGGTTAAATTTGCACTCCAGCTAGTGCCAGCTAGTCTTCGCAGGAGTTTTTCCTTGCTTGGATATTTGCTGCTGTTTGTTCGAGATGTCACTTGAAGGTCAGTGAGCATTCAAGGACAAGTCCTAGATATTTCGGGCTTTTCTCAAATGGAATTGTTTTGTCTTAGCACTTGACATTGATTGTTATGTTAGTAAGGCGATTGGCGAGGTGGAAAATGCTGCTCACTGTCTTGGTGATGCTAAGTTTAAACCTCCAGTCTTTGAAGTAGCAGTTCAGCTTGTTCAGGTCAGTCAATAGTGTAGTAATTAGCCTTTCCATAAGCTTGAAGGTGATGCAGAGGAGGCTGATTGGCCGGTAGCTTTATGGGTCCTCAAGTGGTTTGTTTGGTTTAAGAATAGGGATGACTTTTGCTGTTCTCCAGATCTTAGGCATTTTCTTTAGTAATAGGCAGTTGTTGAAAAATGCTAGTAGCCATTCTAAGGCAGGTGCAGAGAGGTGGGTAAGCTGTTCAGGATGCAGGTGGTCGGTCCAAGAGCTTTCCCTGCCTTGAGGGTGGAAATCGCTGCAATCAGTTCAGGAAAGGTGAAGCTGCTGTAGCTGTTTTCATCTGCTGAGCTGGCTCACCAGATGTCGTGAATCTCTTGTTTAAATTTCCTGGCAAACCGCTTGTCTATGTGGGTTGGTTTGCCACTGTCAACAAGCACCTTTGCGATATCTTTGGCTTTGACCTGGTTTTGGATTTGTGGTTTATGGCTTTGGCCAGTCAGTCCGTTGATGGTTTGCCAGGCTCTTCTACTGGAGTGCTTCATGTCGATTTCAGAGACCGTGTTGTTCCACTCTTGTTTCCTTTTGTTGTCCAGGTATTCGACTAGAGTCAAGCCGTTGGATTGCGCTCTTTCGGTTGTGGTTGCTGACTCAAGTTCAGAGGCTGTTCGTACATTCTTCATCCCAGCCAGGAATGTAGGTCTTTCGAAGTCGTTAACATCAGTTGAATTTGGATCTGGAAGTTTAAGCGGAAAGGAGCTGGTTTCTTTGATGAATTCGGTCCAATTTGCAATTAGCGAACGGATGGAAGACTTGGAGTTGGTGTCACAAGTGCTTGGTGGAACATTACTACTGGTCTGTGCTGCGAGTTCAGAAATCTGCCTAGCACTGAGCGTTGTGGTGAAGGCATGTGGTTGTTTGTTGGGCTGAATAACACCAAGTCCAGGTTTGTTCCACTTTGCCACCTACCAGAGAAGAACATGTTGGCTTGTTTCTCATTGAACAGCAGAGTTAAACCTTGAATGGATGCCCAGTCAGCTAGGGCCTCGCCTTCTGGTGTGCTCTTTCGATAGCTCCAGTTGGTGTGTTCACAATTGAAATCACCAGCATAGATGACAGGATGCGGGTAGCTTGGAAGACTGGAGAACTGGGTACTAGGTTGTTTGTAGATATTGACAATAGCAAGGCCTTCTATTTCAATAGCAATCCACTATGTAGTATCTTCGTCCGGTGACTGGGCTACGTGCTTTGCATTTTTGTCAAGTTTTACTAGGGTAGCCATTCCATGGTGCGCATGATGGATGGCACCTATGAGGTGGTAGCCGTATATCTTGATATTGCTGTCGTCTCTGGTGTGAGTCTCTTGAAGAAGGATCACTTGAGCGTTGTGCTCTTGGCTCTAGTTAGGCCTTCCATGTTGATTTGCAGGATGCACGGACCTGTAGGTTCTTAAAAGCACCTTAGGTTATTTTCTTCTTGCAGAGTACAATTCATTACTGGTAAGCATTCCATGGTAAATTCGATTTGAAGAGCTTTTTGCTGTCAGAGACGTTGCCCAGGGGTCACTACGAAGAAGTAGCTCTTCTTGACCCCCAAATAAGGGCATAGTAAAAGGGCTTGAATGTTCACCATTTTTAAGCTACACAAGAGCTAATTTCAATATTGTTGTACTTTACAATCTGTAGGTTTCACAGATAGCGAGGCCACCGATTGTATCAGATCTGAGACCAGCAGAAGAATTTTTTTTTTTAAGAGAACAACGGTCAGAACAAAATGCATTACAAATAAGATGTCGGAAAGATATGAAGGTATGTATTATTATTTATTGGTGTTCTCCATTATTATTACTACAAAAAGTGCAAATTAAGTATTTCTCTTCAATATATCTGGTGACATTATTAATGTTCATATTACAAATTTGGCCGACAACTTTTTACAGTACATACATTATTAAATATAAGCCTGTTTTTTTTATATAGAAACAAGATAATATAAAATAAAAATAAAAAGTCATAGTTATTAATCTAGAGTATCGTGTTCAAAAGGAGATATCCATATGCCTCTTCCTTTGTGCGTGGTATACAAATATCTTTGAAGACTTTGAGGATTTCTTGCCATTGTACAGAATTACATTGCAAGTCAAAGACAAAGAAGTGTTTTCTAAAAGAAGTGTTTTCAGTGCTGACAAATACTGTTTATTGTACTGTACGTATAGTATAGAGCATGCCACAATTATTTGACACACCTTTTCAACTTGTGTTGTAGTTCCACTGCTGATGTCCTCTTAATGCAAGTATTCAGTAGCCAGTATTCTGTCCTTGTTTTTACTAAGGCAAGAACCTTGTAAACCTTCATGACTAGCTTTTGAAATCGTGTATTAGTGAATTTACAATGAAGATGTGAAGATTTAGTGATGAAATGTTGTGACAACTCCTATGGTCTCTTAAAATGTCATCTGACCTTTAAGTGTAAAGACCTGAATGCTGTCTGCAGAATTATGATTTGCTATAATCTTTATCCTGTGCACATGTAATATACATCAGCTTCATACTGCATGCTGATTTCTTAGAAGGGAAACTTTATCCTGACACCTACTGGTAGAAAAATACCACTCTGTGAAGAACAGTAAAAAGGGAACTGCAACACAATTTTTATATGTCAGGGTTAGGAAGAATCAGCATGATTGATGAGTGCATTTCAAACCACAATAAAAGTAAAATACACATAGTAACTTGTAAAATCTCCACTTTACATGACAAAATGGATGGAATTTCCAGGTACTGTATGTGCAGCACCATGTTCTGCAATTCAGAATGAGGCAAAAAGACTTCCAGTGACATGTTGTGGCCTTATTACATTGTAAACAAGCAGGCTTGTGAAAACATCTCTTTTAATCCAATAGAAATATTGCTGTTGATTTCAAGACGGTTTTGCCGACACATACTACTTACATGTTATCTCTGAATGCAGATCACATTGAAACATTTCTGCAGTGAAATATCTACTGCATAACCTGTATGTATTCGGTAGTACGTTCCATTACATTAGACATTACAGTGATTAGTGAGCAGGAAGGGCCACATCACGTCAGAATTCATGGGCACTTGAATGTGAGTTTGTGACAACACCGCAACTTACAGTCCTTTCAAAAAGTTAACAGTGTTGTGCAAAATTTGTCAAATGTGTAACTGACATTGAGCTGCTTGGCTGGGAGAAATTTAAATGAATGAAATAATGTTGTTACTGAGATTTAATAACTAGTCTGAGAAATTGGGTATGTAGTTCCCCTTTAAGATTGATGAGTGACGTGACACCAGTTTTTTCTGCTCTGAGGTTCCTTTCTGAAGGCATCTGAGAAGTACATGTCCATGGTGGTGGGTGGGAGGGCAGAGTACGCAGCTGCTTTGGCTTGGGAAAAGAAGGGAGTACTTCCAGAAGACACTGTATTCAAGAACTGGATGGAGTCAACCAAGGATAATCCAGTGTTTGTGGAATATGAGGTACTGTCCTACACATAGAGCAATTTTATTATGCCCATGTCTGTATGAGTATTGTGCTCCTCTCCCTTATTGCACATTGTCTTTGTTTTGTTTTTTAACACAAAGCCCAGTAATTTCACAACTCAATTGTTTTAGCCAAAAAGGACATTACATTTAAAAGGTATGCAGCAAAATAACTGGAGCCTAGCCTAACTGGTGGTTTAGATTTGGCAGATAACTCTGTGAGTGGGGAATTGTATTGACATACAGTACCATGTGCAAAGGAATAAACAGAGGTTAATTTCACAATGAAAAATGAGAAGAAAAAATACAATGTTGTAGCTGTGGAGCCCTCTTCATGTGAACTTGATCTTCACACCTAAAGATGGCTCCTCAGCCTAGATCTCCCTCTACCCCATGTTCTCTTTAAATAAGTTCTACGTAAGTTTTATGATAGTCACCTCACTCTAGAATTTATCATCCAGCCTGGAAGACAAAGAGAAAATTATTTTTCATTGTAACAGTGTGAAATTGTAAAGGCTTAATTATTTAAATGAGCCACAAACAAAATTCCTGTGCGGAATGTAATGCCTTTTTTAATAACCTTAGACACCCTCATATAGATCTGTCTTCACTTTCTGACACATCAATGCTTGAGTTTACATTTACTTCTCACTACTTCAGGCTGAGGCATTTTCTCAGAATGCCTGCGACTTTAAAAACATGGCCTATAATAGCTACATTTATGCTTTCACATTATAAATGTAAAACGTACATTAAGCAATATAGCTTCATGTACTTTTCACTACCAGATATTTCTTTTTCATGGTTATTCACATAAGGGTAACAAAGAATAAGATAAAAAGTCTTCGAATTTGGAAAAAATAATAAATTTAATGTTCTACTCTGTTGGGTTCACATTGATAACTGCTGAAATACATCTTTGTGCCTCTGATTGGCAGCTGACCCCCATCCTGAAGTTGGTGAGAGGCATTCCTTGTGCGCTGACAAAGAGGAGGAACCTAGAGAAGGCTCTTGTTGAATACCTGGAAGACTTTGACTCATGCAAGTGTGCACCCTGCCCCAACAATGCCAAGCCTGTTCTGTCAGGCACTGAGTGCTTGTGTATCTGTCAGAGCGGAACCTATGGAGATAACTGTGAGAAACGGGCACCTGATTATACCTCAGGTACTGCTCCTTGAGCCCTGATCCGTTTTCAACTTTAGTTGTTTGTTTTTCGTCTGAATTCAGCTTCTGTGATTGACAGTACTGTTTATTCTCTCGACTCTTAAGAGGAGAATGGATGTATTTGCTCACGAGGTCATTAGGCTTCAGTGCTTTGTTTCGCTTTCTGCCTGTGTTCTTTTTAAGTGAACAGCTGTTCTTCACAGATGCTGTGGATGGATACTGGAGCTGTTGGGCACCATGGAGCACCTGTGATTCCTCTACGAAGAGGAAGAGGACACGGCAGTGCAACAACCCTTCCCCTCTGCTGGGTGGTAAGCCCTGTGAAGGTGACAGTCAGGAAGAGGAAGAATGTTTCATCTCCATTTTCCAGCAGTAAGACAGTACCTTTATTTCCCATCTTCACAAGGAATCCCTGTTCTTTTGACACTTGTTTTAAAGATAGCTGGCATTACGTTACAGCTTTAATGATAAGGGTTTCAGCTTTAATTAAATTATCTAATAGCCACTTCTTATAGATAAGAAAACCATTTGGCAACACCCGAAATATAAAAATCATCAGGCGATGCGATCTGGATGACTGAATCTTCATTTTATTTCCCAGAATTTCTTCTAGATACAATACCTCTTGGGGTTTTTGTACACAATTAATGTAAAATTCATGGGCACTTGTCATCTTCTAGGAAAGCTGAGTGTATTCATGATAATGAAGGAGAAAAAGAGACTGATGTCCCACCTGAAAAGGGCAAGTCTGGTTGTTCACGGCCCAACCTGCCAGAAAACAGCTACCTAAGAGTGAGTCTATCAATCAAAGCATCTGTGTATCCATTTCAGCGAGCTTTACCATTTTTTCCAGTCTGATGCACAAGGACTCAGACAATCATGACACACAATTATGTGGTCTTTGCAATAAATAGAAATTCAGGCAATCATTAGGTTTTTCCTTAACTAGTAGATACACTTCAAAAGCGTGATGTATGAAAAGAGCTTTTTATGCTGAAATCATGTCAGCAGTAAAGCAAACCATCAGCTATCCCTTACCAAAAAGGTGTAAGATGGGTCTGAAACCACAATACAGCTCATCCCTTGGATCCCAAGTACAATTCTGGAAGAGCCAATCCAACCTGGTCAGCATATATTTGGAAGATGAGAGGACATAAAGGACCATAGATATAGACATACAGTAGAGGACTTGGACAAAATCCATGCAAACATCAAAGAATCTATATATTCCACACAGACACCAGAGGACAGAATGAAACCCAGGAATCACCTTGCCACCCAGTCTTTAGTGACATTTCATTAATATGCAACATTTCTTAAACAATTTATTTATTGATTTTATAAAGCCAAGCCCCACTGTTTTTATAGTTTTAATGGTAGCAAGTCAGGGCTCTCTTCACACAAAAACCTGTGTTTGTGGGTCTGAGGAACAAGACATGATAAGCTTGTCTTTCTGTGAACAGAATTTCTGTGAAAAGGCTAGAATTTCATAAAATTACAATAACATCTGTAAAATTGGATAGAATGTGATCACTGCACTTGTAATACCTGATCATTTAACAAAGAATATTAAAAACAAGATCCTTGTTCATGAGTAAAATAATAGAGATTCTCACGTATTAAGTTAAATGTTATGTGTTTGTTAAAGCTAATATGATGTTGCTCCAAAGGAGGTGGACTAAGAACATTAAAATCTCCAATGTTGTTGTCTTTTGGTTCTTTGGGCTTGTCTGCTACTCATGTGGGCTATAGGAATCAGGCACTTAAGTACTGTACCTGAGAGACGATACAGCAAACCCTGGGTCCAACTGCACAAACAGATTTTAACTGTTCGGATAATTTAGGTTTTGTAGTTATTTCCAAAACTGAAGATCATTCATTTTGTGCAAGAAATGAAAATGATCTCCATTGCTACACAGACTTTTCTTACACCATATGAAGTTTGCAATTGAACTTGGCATTTGCAGCTTTGGTTGAATGTACAGTATAGTATTTCTTTGAATCTATTCTTTTAAATAAATGTATAGTTCTGTGATTTATTGATATTTATTGAAACAGTAAATCATGCAAAAGATTTAATTTAATTCTTTGCGATTGGCACTTTATGTGACAATATATACTGTAGCTTGAATTGAGCTCACGTTCCTTCTCTTTGCTTGCAGATAAATAAGAAGAGATATGATTTTGGAGAACATGATGAATTTGTCTGTGTCACTGGTTTTGAATTAGATGGATATCCATACACCACATGCCTACCTGATGGCACATGGAAAATGCAATCAGTTCAATGTATCAGTAAGTCAGAGAATTAATGTGGCCTTTTCTGTGGGGTATGTCTTTTGTTTTGTAATTTGTTTGAGAGTGACTTTAGTAGTCAACACTTGAAACATGAAAATAAACACTTTTCAGTAGTTTGGACAAAGCCTACTGTAATTAGGACATGAAAGAAGTGCAATTTGAATAGTGGGCTTTAATGGGGTAACTTCTCAGTTTGAAATCAATGACGACCATTTGTAAGGATGACACTTCTGTCTTCAGTGAGGGATGAGTCAGGAAGCTGTTGCAAGGGCAACGATGTGGTGGGGGAGAGATGTGAAAACAAAACATTAAAACAAGTAAGCAAGAAGCTTGATATTTATACACTATGCAGGAAAGTACAAATTGGCAAGATAAGGGTTTTGACTTCCAAACTAGTAGGTTTGGTCAAAGCATAATTAAGAAGGAAAAGAGACATTATTGGTATAGAGAGCTTCAACTGACTGAGGAAAACAACACTGGAACTGCTGGTGGAAACCCCAGAAGAAATTAGAGATTTAGAAAATGAACAGGTGTAAGGTTGGCACAGTGTTTTCCACTTTACTGTGGCCATAAAATACTCCTGGATTTGGAATATATTGTTGGAACATGTATATTCTGTATCTGGCTGGGGTTCATACCCAATAATTGCTGCAGGATATGCTTTAAAGTTGATTTGAAAAAGTTAGTTCCTTGGGGATGTCTTTTATTTCGCAAGGAACATCGGAAAGAACAAAGGAAAATCATGAATGAAAAACCAGCCTTGTGATCGGAGAATGGTTAGCAGCCCTTTAAGCATCAAAATGGAATAATCAATATCAATATGACAGAAAATGTAAAGATAAGGATGGATGGTTAATCGCATCCTTGAGTACAAAAACAGTAAGAATAGTTTTGTTAAACAAAAAACCTTTGCACATTTGATTCAGCTTTAGCAGCTCCCCAATGTATAGTACAATGCTCTTAGCATCGTAGAAGGAAAAAAAAATGTTTAAATCATGGATGGTCCCTCACAACTGAGACTAGGCTGAGAGTGGAACAGTTTATGTGAGAGATTACCACACCCAGCTGGATGCCGGTCAGACTGTGACAAAGAATGGGCAAGGTCCCAGGCAGATGATTGAACAAGAAGCCAGGATCTGATGCAGACTGAAGCTGAATGAATGTCAGTGGCCTGAAAAAGACAGCGATGGGGCAGGTAGGATGCCCAACAATAAAAGAGCAGGTGAAATGCGAAAGGAATAGCTATGTGGAAGAGCAGAACAGTTGGGAAACTGCAGTAGGAGTAAAAGAGAAAGACGAAGCTTAGAGGGACAAAGGGCAGTCCCTTGGGATCAGTTCAACTGGAACACTACGGTGAGGAAACAGTATCAAGGCGAGTCAAGAGAGGAGGGCAGCATGGCATCATCCCCTCCACCACCACCAATGCGCAGCATAAATGCCCATTGAACCCACCATGGTTTAGATTGAAATGTACAGAATACCATGAACACATTCATTTCAATAATGTTCTTTTTAGTACTCCTGTTTAGGACAAAGTGATACCATGTACTTGAAATATTGCATCCTCAAGTATCATGTTGAACTTTTATACTGGCGTTTGAGTTTAAAAAGTGAATTATATTTTCCAAATAAATATTGTACAGTATGCTCACAGGATTTCTATAAAATAAATGCAACTCTGCATTTCTCACAAAAAATGACAGATCAGCTAGAGCTCCATAACATTATGCGTTAACAGATCATAATTTTAATAAATTAAAAAAAGCAGTAAAGGCTGAATATTGCTGGCTTATATAAATTTTATAAAAACTATCAAACTGCTTATCCTTTAGTTTTCTAACTGCTTCTAACCCTCGCAAGTGGAACCATACCAGGGGGCATCTATAGGTCAGTGGAAAAGTACAGCTCATGTCTTAAATAAAGTGAAAAGTAGAATGTCTTGTTTTGCAAATGTAAGCAATAACGAAAGTCTCAATAAGGAGTTGTTTTCCGCTATCTAAGCTTGACTGAAAACTCATGATTCGTTTCAGGGATTAGGTAATCTATGTTAGAGGTAGGAAGTTTGTCTGTTACTGTGTATAAAAAGCGCTGAGCAACATCTTTCGGAGAGACTGGCTTTGGTAAGCTACTCTCCCTCTTGCAAGCATAATAAACAGCTCTTCTTTCACCAACATCTGAATTCTGTTATTTTAATGTTTCTTCACTTATATTAGTAAATGTTTGTTTTACAGTATTTTTGGTTATGCTTTCTTCTGTTTAGAGAAGACCTGCAGCAGACCAGCTGTGCCTAGTGAAGTTTCTATATCTCCTTTTAAAGAGGATTACAGTATTGGGGAGAGCATTTTTCTCAGCTGTGGTTTGGGGCTCACTCCTTCTGGACCAAGTTATTTCGAATGTAGAAAAAGCCTTTCCTGGGAACCCTCTTTCCCCAGCCAGATAATCTGTGAAACTGGTAAGAGCTATTTGTCTAGATTATCCATTTCCATTATCAGCAGAAATGTTGTATTTTTTTTTCCAAAAACAACCAGCCTTCTTAGATGGTTAATCTTTCTTTCCTCAGTTTTAAAAAGCGAATATGTGATTTTTTTTACTCCTCAGTTACAAAACGTAAAGGTTGTTTTCTTCATCCCTTTTACAAAGCAGCCATTTTAACTGCTGAAATATAGACAATAAACTGAAAATACAGGTTCCTGGTAGACATTCTCCATGCCTGTTTTTATCACTCAGTGAAACTCAATCAGTCCCCAGAGTGTTTAGCCTCTAGCTTGGCTCTGTTGCTCAGCTTGTCCTTCAGGTGTCTGTCATGTCTGTCTCCAGGCTTCTGGAGTAAAACTCCACTAAGTGCTTTCATCTCTCATCTTTCTTGTCAATTGATCTGATGATGTAAGTAAACAATTCCAAATAAAAGTCCCCTATCTTCGCCTGAAACAGCCTGAGCTTAGTATTTGGACCAGTATTATAATACTAATGTGTCACTTGCTTTACTTTTTCTTATTTAGAATAATTAGCAGTGCCTATTACTTTTGTTTTTCTTGTTTGCTTTTTTGAAACTCAGTCTTTATTACATGATATTCTTCTCAACCCACAGAAAAGCCTTTTGTTTCTGATGGGAGCTGCAAATTAGGGGAAAAACAGTCTGGCTCCACATGTGTTTGCATGTCCCCAACAAAGGATTGCCAGTAAGAATGTTTTTTTTTATCACATTCATACTGATCTCATGAGACATTTAAGCAAGTAACATACAGTATGGATATGGCAATACAATCTTTCAGTATTAATCACTAATACAGTAAAATCACAACCTATGTGAACTGCACATTAATCACAGTAGAAAAAAATATTTTATTCTTTAAACAAGGTACTCATGTTTCTTAACAAAAGGTGACACACAGATCCATCCCATATATATATATAGTGTGAATGCACTATAGGGATCTGTATTTTGATATTCATTCATGTTTGTAAAGAAATGTGCTCAACGTGTAATTTTGATCTTTTCACAGTTAATGTAACAGATGTGGAATTGTAAATTGTCTTTTAAATCCTCTGTGGGTACTATCTTATAGACAAAATCAAGGACAGATTTTTCTATGAGACAATATTGATTTATAAAATACTGCTTCTCATAAAACCCTTGACACTCTCTCCAAGATTGTTTTGAATAAAGTAGTGGTGAACTGCAGTAATCTTTTATGTGTATTTCTTTTATTACTTTAAATCTGAAGCTGTCACCAGGGGTCATCGTCATTTGGATTGCTGTGGATGAACAATAGCACAAAATTAAATATTCAATGTACAGTACTGTACGTGTTTTAGGTTACCAAAGACCCTCTAGACAGTTATGTTGTATATCTGTGTATTGTAAGAATATATAGAGGAAAATATGTGCTCTGAAGCTGCTGTACATTGATTCCCACCTTAGTGCCTTAACTATGTTATTTGTCCCTCTGTTCTGCAGATCTTATAGAGAAGACATCTGTGTCTTAGATGTACAAGCAGACAGTGCTGTGATGAAATCATCCTGTGCTTTTCATGCTGGGAGATGTCAAGGAGAACAGCTACATTTCCTGAAGACTGGTGCTTGTGATAACGATGAGCTCAGCCTCAATTGGGCGAAATTCAGAGCCAGTTTGTCTGACAGGAGTGAGAAAAAAGAGTCCTGTGGCTATAACACCTGCTATGAGTGGGAAACATGCACCGGTAATGTTTTTTTATATATATTATTCACAGAAAAATTGATAGACAAAAAGAAAAACCCCCTTAGAAGGTTATAGGTTGAATAAAATAAAAAAAGGAAATTGATGTAGAAAGTATGATCCCTATAGTACTGCAAGGCATGATTTATACAACCTTAGCTATGTTAATGCACACAGAGCAGCTTTGCTTAACTATCTACAGTAGTGCTAGAAAGTTTGTGAACCCTTTAGAATTTTCTAAATTTCTGCATAAATTTGACCTAAAATGTGATCAGATCTTCATCTAAGTCATACAAATACTGTAGATAAAGAGTCCCCAATAAAACACATAACATACAAAAGGATATACGTTTTCATTCATGTATTGATCAAAATTATCCAACATTAAATGTCTTTGGTGGAAAAAGTATGTGAACCTATGTTTTCGGTAACTGGTGTGACTCCCTTGAGCAGCAATGACTTCAACCAAACATTTATGGTAACTTGATCAGTCCCGCACATTGGCTTGGAGGAATTTTGGCCCATTCCTCCTTATAGAACTGCTTCATTTCAGTGATGTTGGTGGGCTTTCTAACATAAAATCCCCTCTTCAGGTCCTGCCTCAATGTTTCTATTGGATTAAGGTCTGGACTTTGACTCAGCCATTCCAAAACGCGAAATTTCCTCTGCTTCAACCATTCTTTGGTAGGCTGACTTGTGTGTTTAGGGTCGTTGTCTTGCTGCAAGACCCACCTTCTGTTGAGCTTCAGTTCACGGACAGACACCCTGACATTCTCCTGTGGAATTTGCTGGTACAATCCAGAATTCACAGTTTCGTCAATAATGGCAACCCGTCCTGGTCCCATGGCAGCAAAACAGCCCCAAACCATGATACTGCCACCACCGTGTTTCACAGTTAGGATGAGGTTTTTATGTTGGAATGCGGCGTTTGGTTTTCGCCAAACATAACATTTCTCATGTAAGCCAAAATGTTCTATTTTTGACTCATCCATTCACAGAACATTTTTCCAGTAGTCTTCTGGTCTTTAGCAAACTTTAAATAGACAGCAATGCTTTTCTTGGAGAGTAGTGGCTTCCTCCTTGCTATCCTCCCATGCACACTATTCTTGTTCAGTGTTTGCCTGATGGTGGACCCATGAACACTGACATTAGCCAGTGCAAGAGAGGCCTGCAGATCCTTAGACTTAACCCTGGGGTTCTTTGTGATCTCCAGGAGTATTATACGCCTTGCTCTAGGAGTGATTTTTGTTAGATGACCACACCTGGGGTGAGTAACAGTGGTGTTGAATTTTCCCCAATTGTACACTATCTGCCTGACAGTGGATTGGTGAAGCCCAAAGGCTTTAGAAATCATTGTTTAAAGGTTTTTATTTAACCTTTTCCAGCCTGATGACCAGACTTTGGTAATGAAGACTCAGGTTTATGTTTTTTAAATAGGGCAGTGCCACCAAAACTCACACCTGATTGTCATCCCATTGATTGACACTCCTGACTCTAATTGTCCCCTTAACTGAGCTGCTAATCCTAGAGGTTCACATACTTTTTCCGACAGAGACATTTAATGTTGGATAATTTTGATCAATAAATGAATGAAAAAGTATATCCTTTTGTGCATTTCTTTCATTGGGATTTCTTTATCTATTTATATGACTAGGACGAAGATCTGATCACATTTTAGGTCAAATTTTTGCAGAAATTCAAAAAATTCTAAATGGTTCACAAACTTTCTAGGACCACTGTAATGTACATTGAAAATAGAATGTTGAATATGGAAATATCATTAACAATAAAAAAAAGTCTTACATCCACTTAAAATTGCACTTCTTATATTTTTCCACTTCACAGACTCAAAATGTGAGTGCCTGCGTCCATATGAATGCCCCAAGGAAGGGAAACATATTTTCTGCGTGGAAACCGTGAAGTCAAAAACCAAAAGGACTTCGAATCTTTGCTTCCTTGGTGCAATGAAATGTGCAGCAATCCAAATGAACATTCTGCATGATGGGGAATGCTAAATAATTTTGCTTCATATAAAATTTGGTTTCTCTTCTGAGAAAGACTTCTGGATTTTGAAGTACTACTGAAAATCCACACACTGAGTAGTCATTCAGAAGTTCTGTCAAAATTCTAAATGTTTTTTTTTTGTAATAAGCAGACTTCATTGAAAAATATTGGAAAGCTAAATGGTAAAATATATATATATATTTCTAAAGATCGACCTTTTATACATGTAAGAAAAATATTTCCAATGTGTTCTCAAACAGATTTTGGCTCAGTGCTACATAGTTAATAGCATTAGTATTTCCTTTCTCATTTTTTATCTAAAAAGTTCTCTTTCAAAAGCAGCATTAGTCCATACGCATGCTTTTCTATTACATTTACGCTTTGCTATATAGTATGTATTAATGATCATTTATATACAATGTTGTGTAGAGTAGTACTGGTATTGCAATGCTATACTCATTTTGTTTTAAATAAAGATCTTATTAGGTACAGTAAATGTCTCTGGGTAAAAGCCAATAAACCTTTAATTACTACATTTATCACAATGTGGTATGTCTTGCTTAGAAAACTTACTGTAAGTGTTTATGTTAACACCTAATAATTTACTCTGGACCCGACCTTTTAATCACAGAAGGCTAACTGACTTCATTGTACTGTTTAGGACATATTTTTAAGTTTGCTTTGAGTTCTTAAAATGCAGAATGCGATGTATTATTTGCAACAATCCATATCAATCTTAGAGTGTCAATAAGAGAAAGCAAATTGAGAATGTTGTTAGAAAGAAGTAAACTAATAATCTAAACAAAGAAGTCGACCAATTAAAGTCAGCATTCAGCAATGTACTGTAGATTTAGAGCTCTGTTAGAGTAGAAAAGAGCAAACAGGGTGGTCCCTTTGAACTGGGATTTGAAAACACTTTTCTAGACAATGTGGCAATAAAAGGCAAACAAAATGTTAAGATATGTAGTTTAGTGTGTATAATTCAAAACAAAGAATATTATGTTGAAATGGTATATTGTACTAGTATGACTACATTTTACAATATACTGTACAGTATGTACATTTGTGTTAATCATGTTACAACAAATAAGTGTCTCTGGAATCAGTCCACAGAAGAGATACATTTCCAGGCTCAACGAAATGTCCTAGACTGACAAGAGAAATTAATGTGTTTAGTCTTGGGCAGTGTAGACTAGAAAGGTGTCTGATTCAGGTATACAGTACCAAGTCCTCCAAGACATTGACAGACTCAACGTAATTAATTTGTTCCGGATCAACAAAGAAACACTAAAACAATGACCATACACAAAACTATTGAGAAGTTTTAAAACCAAAACCAAAAGGAACTCTATTACACAAACAGTCACAGGAGTCTGGAAAAAACTGTCCTGCTTTGTTACTCAATCTGATATTCTTGCTTCTATCAAGAAACAACTGGATAAGATCCTTAGCGAACAGCATCCAAACAGACTACAGTACATAAGAACAGTTATACAGATATGAAGAGGCAATTTTGTCTGTCTAGTCCATTTGGTGATTAGCAATTAATTGATTAGCTACTGAAGATGGGTGAAAAGGTCTCTTCAAGGTCTTGGTCATGTCCATATGTTCTTTGATTGTGCACAAGGGATTTTTCCATTATAGAAAATACATTAGTAAGGGATAGAAAGTTGCCATATTGCGTATCGATTTAAAATATACTTAAATGGATAGTGCAAATAATCACTTCAAAATCCTAAGTAGGCACGCACCTCTTGTGCAATATGCAGATGCATGAACACACACATTATTCACACATTTTGATTTTCTACTCTATAGAAGCTTATATAGTTGTGGAAATAGGTCTTCATACAATACCTTGTATTAAAAGAGTTAATTCAGTAGAAAGCTCATCTACTAGTTACTAGGGTTAATGAGTACTTATCAGAAGTGACATTCCAAAATATTCTACCTTTCTGAATGTCTATCACTCGTGGTACTGTAAACTCTCAAGACTCATTAGGCAAGTTTTCTGTTACCATTAGCTCTCTGGAAATATGGTACAGTAAATCTTGCATACTGTATTGGGCCTTACCAAGTATTTAAGCCAAGATGGGTGACTCCTATAGAGCATGCCATTCTGATTTTTGGGAGTGAGGAGTATATTAGAAATATAAATATAATATTACTTAAACTATAATTTGTGTAGGACGGTTTATATGTAATTTATTTAACTTATTATATAACAAATTTAGCTATTTTGCAGTTCATATGTCGGTCTACATACTTCTGTCTGACCATCAGGTATTGGGTTACCTATTGGGTTGGTAAGGTGGACTAGTGAATCAGACCAGTAAATATACAGTAGTTTGCTTCTAGCTAGACATATTTTTCTGGATGACAGAAAACACCAGCTTCAGAACACCTGTTTAGCAAAACTGTGGTTAAAGCTAATGGCTCTCAAACACATCTTTTGCACCCAGAAACCTCACCTCCCCTAAAAAAAATAATCTAAAGCAAATGTAGAATTCAAATAGATGTTATAATTACAATTGTATGATGAACTCATATTTTGAATATTATGCAGAATTTTGGACACCAAGCTGCATATAAATTATTGCCACTGTTGAATCAACCAAAAGAAGAGCAACCAGGCATACTTTGGGTCCTGTTCTGGTGGGATAAAAGTGTTGAATCATTTGATTCTTGCACATGCTACAGTATATCTCTCTATGTGAGGACCAGAGTCCATTAACAAAGTTGACTACAGACGTCTTAAAAATCTGTAGTGAAACACAAAACTGAGAGCTGAAGGCACACAAAAAGTTATGAGAATCTGGAACAAGCTACCAATTTTACAGTCAAAGATTATGTCATTGTGTCTTTCAAAAAACAGCAGGATCTGCTTGTTAGACCTGTGAACTACAGTACTAGCAACTTAACAAAATGGTAATGGAGGAGACCAGATACTCTTGTCTGGTTGACATTCCCAGAAGGAAATTGGGAATTACCTAATTACCTTACTGATTTACCTGACAAATTGGTGGAGGTCAGTTGGTTGGGTGACATTAAAAACAGGAAGCTGAGACTTTCAAGAAACTCTGCTGCCAAGAAAGAATCTGTTATGCATCTTAATTTGAGGGATAAGCAAGCAGAGAAGACAGCAACTACCAACATGATTATGGATATAAAAATGCAAGGTTTGGTCTCAGAGAGTTATGTTTGCAAATAAGTAACTAAGCTGCTCTGTTGTATTTATCCCAGAGAGGGATTGAAGAATTTAAACAAATAAAAAAAGATGAAAACAGCAAAAGGTAAACAAACATTGTCTGTTGAAACATCCTTATCCAAACATGTTGACGACAAATTAGTTTCATGATTTAGCTTAAATTGTAGTCTTTTCACTAGTGTGACCTCTAATTGATAAGGTATTGGTTAGCGAAACAAATAAAACAATAAAAAATGTAAAAAGAAATCCAACCTTATAAATAAATCAAAGAGCTTGGAGGAAAAACAAGACTTCTGTTTTGTTCGGATTTTTTTTTGTTCTAAAAGTATGAATAAATCCTGAATCCTTTAACATCCATGTTAAAGTGGAATGTTTTCATGTGCAAAGGTCTGTGAGATACACTACCAGAAAACGTAAACAAAACAGTTTAAACCTTTTTATTATTACCATTATGATTGAAAGTAAAAGATTACATTTAATAGTCTTAAATCGTAAGAACCACTTACTAATATTTAATACAAGATACATTGTACAATGGTTATACACAGCATTGAAGCTGTTTTATTCACATTTCTTTTTATGCTTCACATGGCCAGATACTAACGGCTGAGATATTCTCTCCATGGCATCGTCTCCGACCTGCTTCGCACTCTGTCATTGATTGGGCAGCAGGATTCTCTCCGGCAAGTACACAGATATGGGCTCCACTTTTGGTGCATTCTTCATTTTCTCGGCATACACACATGTTAGTCCCCACTGAAATCAAAGAATAATCAGTCGTTGAGAATGTATGACATGTAGTAGGTATTTTTTATTTGGATTTCCCAGGTAGTTTATACTTCATACCTACCAAATTTGGAATGCCATTTATTTACTTTTGTATCTAAACTCACCTACAGTACTTACAACCACGCTACCACACAGGGACAGTGAGGACTTGTCAGACAATAGAGTAAGCTGATTGACACAAACTCTCAGGCATCTAACAGCAGAATCCTTATGGTCTCATTACCAGCCAGACCCAACTCTCTGTGTACAAGGACATGGGGATTCCTAGTTAGCTAAGGATTCAAGCTGATTGAGTATCTCAGGAGCCTTTGAAAGGAATTATTCTCCTGCTAGGAAAGACTTCAAACAAGTCATGAGTTATAGGAATTCTTAATAATTTTGTGAAATTAAGAAATAAATACCATCACATTTCTCCCACAGCTGGCAGTCAGGACAGGCCTTGCTCTGGGATTGGAGGGATGTGCACTTGTTTTCCTCAGTTAGGTTGTAAATGCGTCCCTGACACTCAAGAGCATGGATTTTACAGATGCTGAGTCTGTATGCTTGGCCTGTTTTCACGTAAGTGGCACAGACTTCAAAAGATGACCTAGAAAAAGGTGGAAAATATAATGAACCATATATTTTTGGTTGATTTTAGTATTTTGAATTATTAAGATTTATTCCCTCATGGAAAATTAGACACAATGTTGTCAGTACTCAGCTAGATACAATTTGTGTTTTGGCTTGTGCTTTTTTCTGTGCTCTGAGTATGGGTGTTCAATAGTAATCACGTTAAAAACACTAATTTAACTAATTAAAGTCAGTTCTAGTATGAAAAGCCTATACTTACGTGCACTCATAAGGCATTTTACAGATACATTGTGACTTGTCAGCTTTTTCCCATGGCTTGCATTGATGTGTAGGTCGAACTGTGGTTTTGACAGGTGCTAAAACAGATCAATTCACATAGACTTATGGGCTATTATTCCAAATCTGATATAGAAGATCTCCTGTTTCCTTAACTCTCTTTAACCACTTACATTAGGTTCATGTGAGTTAATGAACCACAGTTTTGCAGATTGTCTCCTTTTTGTTAGATTTTTTTTAACTGACAATGAAACTACTAGAAAGATTTCTGTATTTGTTAAATGTATTGTACATAGAAAACAAATATCTAAATAACAATTGTAGTAATATATACACCCTTCCCACTTGCATCACAATCCCATGCTTATTATTTGTTATTGTGAAAATATCTGCACCTCTTTGCAAAAGCAAAACGATTTTTGTTTGGTTTTGGAAAAATCTTTAGGGTGAATATCAAGCAGTGTTGCCTATCCTGACAAAATAAATATCACGTTTATTACAAGGTAAACAATAGTTCTTTACTAGTGTTTTACTGTATACAGTACCTGCTTTGCATCTTGTATTTGAAATCTGTGGGGACCAGTTGAGGCTGGAGTCACACTTGATTTCTGAAACCCCTTCTAACTGTTTTCCAGCTGGGCAGGACATTACGATCTTCTCCCCTATTTCATAACTGGGCTTCCAGGGTGTCCCTTTCACGTCAGCCATGAAGTCTGGAGGCTGACAGACTGTCCCTGTAAATATTCAAATGCAAATCCTGTTTGAAAACATCAGTTACAGGAAGAAGATTTTTGTGTTCAGAACTTTGGATTAAGCCTTTGGAGACACACCTCCCAACCCCTTAAATTTTGGGCCATTGAAAAAAAAATCATGTACCTTAGTAGTTCGCACCCTATTAAGTGCGATATAGAAACAAAATGTATTAGAGGTTGGGTTGGTGTTACTCGCCTGGGAATGTCAACCCAACCGTAAGTCTGAGTGCCCCACCTTACTTTCTAGAGGAATGAGCTAGGGTGCAGCTGAAAGGTTAAAGGAAGAAGGAGACATATGGTATATGTAAATATGAATGAGAGGGGCAGTGGGTGAGATTAGGATCTGAACTTCTGTCAAAAAAATTCATACACTGAAAAATAATATTTGACTTTGAGCAGATCAATGTGATCACAAGGCTATATACAAGACATATATGGTGTAGTAATAACTGTCACCAGTCTCATTGATGTAATAAAAAGAGTTGATGATGCTTTTATGAACATATCACAATAATTTAAAGATGTACCATTGATATTGTGCACTTCTGTGTGTACCTTAAAATACCAATATCAGCACTTACGCATGCATTGTACAGGATATCTTTTCCACTTTAAATCCTCATCACACTCAGCTACGGGATCCCCAACAATATAATATCTCTCTTTGCAGGAATACACAATTTTACTGCCAATAGGGTAGAGGTCTTTGGGATCCTACGAGTAAAGTAAACACAAATGAAGACTTTACACTATCTTGTTTCTTTATTTATATTACTGTTTTCTGCATTTCATATTTTGCCAAGACCAACACACAAATCTCACATTTTCAGCAGTCTTCAGTTTTTCTTTTGTAAACTATTATATGCAGATTACTTGAAATGTATTACTGGTTGTAACATGTATTCAAAATGAAGTATATTTGAGATGGGCAGAATGACAGTAAATCATGTCTTTTGTGCTCCTACAATCTAATAGCCACCTTCAAATGCCATGAAACAACAATGGTTGACGTTTATTATATTTCTAATATACTGTACAGACAAACCACCTATTACTGTGTGCTACATTGTCCACATAAGTACTGTGTAGTAAGACACTGCTCTCTGATCATATAACCACATTACAATTAATGTGATTATATTATAAATGCAGTGTACAATACAGTAAGTGGCAACTGATGCAAAGTGTTTTATGTCCTCTTATAGGATCATATTAATACAAAGAGAATTCTTGACTCCCATCTTCAAAACAGGTAAGATTATTTTTTTACCCTGTGCCAAGAGCTTTTCATTTTTTTCTTAAGTACACTATATATGTACTGTATACTGTATTGTATGTATTAACTGAACGCCAATGTTACAGCTATTGTATTGAGAGCTATAAGTTATAGTTATTGTATTATTATTCTACTCTGCATAAAATGGAAACATTGCTTTGCATTTGCAATAATATTAACTCAAATTCAACAACACTTGTGTTTGGGCATAAAGTTTTAATTCTTTTGAAGAACATAAAAATGAAATCCACATCTAATGTCTATACCATTGCACAGAGGGGGGTATTTGATTAAGTTATAGAGTAACAACAAGCTTCGGCTTATGAAAAGTCTATTTTACATGCAGTTTTGCAAAAATCATTCAGTAGTTCTATAATTAAAAATACACAGTGTTTTCTCCTAAAGATCAAGTCTAAGAAAAAGAAAGGAGGTGTAATTCTTACTTCAACAAAGCCATTTTGAATCACAGGAGGAGGTTTACAGGACTTTGTTGGTTCCAATGTAGTATCAAAGCAATGGGGTTCCATTTCACTAGGAATCAAATAAGTTAAATGCTGTTTTTTTCCTAGTATATCCAAACATTTGTATTACTTAAGACAGAACAAAAGAGATTTCAATAATGCTGTATTGACTTACTTAGGGAAAATTAACAAGGGTTCACAATTTAAACATTGATTTCATAATACCTAATAACATAAATTCCAGTATACTGATATTTCTGAGAACAAAAAGAAAATAATTGGAATCTGGTGCTGAAGATAAATTACTTTTTAATCTAGAAATGTATGCTAAACATTTGACAATGACAACATTAGATATTCCTTTTCATATTTCTGTGTGAGACAATTCTGGGTGATGTACTGTACACTACAGTACGTTTCAGTAGATTTTGCCCTTACCGTAAATAGGCAAGTTCCTCATCCTCGCAGGGCCGGGTCTCTTTGGGCTCCCCAATGCAGAACTTTCCCCCCATTCTGGGAAAGGGGTTATTGCAAGTGCGAGTTCTTACCCTCTGATCCTGCGAACAGGAACTCCAGGAAGACCAACAGCTCCAGCTGCCATCAATCACCCCTGCAAGACAGGAAAGCTTCCTTTAAAAACAAAGAAATAGGCAAGCCATAGCAGGACTCCAGCACCATGATGATTATTTTAGTTAGCCTGTAACAATGTAGTTAGACATAACCAGTAAAAAATAATAATTTAAAGAGAAAATGAGGAAAGGTGTAGCTAAATTATCTTTTGTTGCTGAAAGACAAAGATAATTGATAACCCTTAAAAGATTCTATATATGCTTTTGTTTTTTACTTAGAGTAAGGTAGAGGAAATCAGCAGCTGCTTTCTGCAAGAATTCAATCAATCCTGGATATGTAGCTTCTACCAGATCGGCTTGAAAAACTATGTAGTTTGTTTGAAAGCCCACGGCCCATTGCTGTATTAGCCTGAATCTTCCTTTAGCATACACTGTACTGTACTTGCTATCATCCTTAACAATAATGTTATACTGAATGATCTGAATGATCTGTATGAATGTCACATTAAATCCATTTATGTTATTTCTCACACACTCAACCAGGCTCGAGCTATACTTCGGGACCCAATTCCCCCTGGCCACGATCTGTTTTCACCCCTGGGTTCTTGTAGGACGTATCGCAGTATCAGAACACTGACAAATAGATTCAAAAACAGTTTCTTCACCCAAGCACTCTGCATCTTAAACAGCTCAAATTAGTACCTGCACATATTAGCACTGTCTGCACTATGTCCAGTCTTGGTTGTTTTAAAATGTCTATTGTCTGAATTTATTGTCCATGTCTGGTTGTCATTTGTGCTTTTCTTTCTTTTCTCTAATGTTACTTGGGTACAGCTGAATGAGTAAGCATTCCAATACACTTGTTGTATATGGCAAATAAAGAAATCTTGAATCTTGAATCTTGAATCATGTAATGTAGTCCATTTACAGTGGGGTGAAAGCAATGCTTATGGCATTCATTATAGAGTTTTGCTCTTTTAATGACTTACTGGTTTCATTTGGATGAAATGTAGCAAAAGGAATTATTAGTTCTCAAAAGCGTTTAGTGCTGGTCACCTGGTTGTTCCTGCAGAAGAGTTCCAAGCTCACAGGCTGGTCCATAGGTATCTGGTTTACAGACACATGTGCAGAGTGTGTCTTTGACTGCAGGAATACCATTGTTCTGGCAAGGTTTACAATTGCAAGGGTGATTCTCATTCAGATATTCCTCGATTGCTCGCTTCAGGTTGTATCTCTTCACAGCTGCACAGGGTACCTCTTTCACCAGCTCAAACAATGGTCTCAACTATAGAATTAGAAAACAGACAGTTGGTATACCATAAAAACTGCAAAGGAAAATCCGACTTTGTTTCACGTTAACACTAGCAAAGATTCAAACACGACAAAACTGTGGGCCATTTTATACTTGTTTACACATAGCTACCCACAGTAAAGTTTTTAAAAAGCACAGTAGCTATTTTCGTTTTAGATGGAGGCAATTTCATAAACATGACAATCTGTTGTTGACATTCCTGTTTACAAAGGTAAACAGGAAAAATGTTTCCTAAATTAAAGGGCTAGGCTGTGTATTTTCTTACTAAAGCCTATTTTTTTTCTCAGCTCAGAATAATTCACAGAATGTTCAGAGAATACTTACAGTAATTGTTGTTATTTTCACATTAAATATAATTGAATTTAATTAGAAGGCCAGAAAACTGCATAGAACCGACATAATGTGATCATCTGTGTGATTTACTGTATAATATGGTTCACTTACACACTCTAACAGCTTTTGAGTGGGTTACTCTATTAGGCAAATAGATTACCCTAATTCCTGCTACAGTACATGTTACAGTACATCAACTCATTTTCTGAGCTCGCTTTGAACAAGTCTCTGGGTAACCTACAACACTGGCTTGTGTAAATTACAGTCCATCAACAGCAAGTCATGGTTCTGAGATTGATGTATTGTGGGTCTGTCACCTTCTGCTTGATAACGGAGGGGTTCTGTGTCACAGAGCCAGCCCACTTGGTATAGAGATCACTGTTTGCTGTAGGGTTGTTTAAATCCAGGTAATTAAGACCAGAGGCAAAACCTGACCTCCCTCCAACAATCTGTGTTTCTGCACGTATCCTGTCTCTTTTATACCCTGGCAAAAGAAAAATATTTTTTTTAAATATCCGTTTATCTTAAGAGAAATTGTTCATCTTTTTAATTTCAGTTTATCCATTAACTGCAGAATTACAGGTCAGCAAAAACTTTCCAGCATGAAAAAAGCACAACACCATTACCTTCAGCTGTCCTGAGTGCCTCAACAAGTTTGTTGCATTCTGAGCGCTTCACGCTGATGAACAGGAAGCCAGAACTTGAAGAAGTACATTTTTGAGCATCAAGGTTAGATATACCTTCATTGATCAAGAAGAAAGAGAACATGTTAGACCCGGAGCAAAATAAAACCTTTGTTGATCAATTACCTTTGAGAACCAAAAAAATATATATATTTTAACCAGAAATCCCTCACATTATAATTTAATGAATTTCAATGAAAAAGCTTTATACAATATTGCATGCACGATACTGTAATTGAATTTTAATTAGAAAGTAATCATGCAAACATTATGTGACAAACATGAAAAGTGAAGGTTATGTCTATAATATTTTGTGATAAATAGTATTGGAAACTCCAAATAAAAAAGCCTATACTAGGAATTCATTTTTGTGCTCACTTGTACAACATGTGTGTCTTTTTCTTTCTTTGCAGGAGATATACAATATGTATAAAATGTCTTCATGTGCTACCTTGTTGTTTCATCTTTTCAGAATCAACGTAGAGAAGAGCCTGGTACTGGCCTCCAAGATAGCCTTCCTTCATGAAGTGAGTACCATAGTCTTGAATAAGATCTCGGTAAGCACTATACTCATATGAAGCTGGTAGCAAGGTTAAGTCCTTCCAGAAATTCTCTGAAAGTGTCAAGTCCTCAGATGCGCCATTCAGAAACTGTGCAACCTCCACCTCATTCTTGATTACCAGAAGTCTGTGGCTCTAAATCACAATAAACAGAACTTTCAATCTAATACTACATTACATGCATTAGCAAACCATCTGCTGTTAGTGAAATAGTTATTTTACTCCTATATGAATGTATTGTTTAGATAATATAATTTATATTTCACCTTTTCTCTTTCAAAAATACTGTTGTTTAAACCCAATTATCTACAATTGTGGTACTCAATGAATCAATGGTGAAAATTCATAATTAAATTGCCAATTTGTTGCATCATTTAAGGTCCTCTGTGTATTGATGAGGTTTTCTAGAAGTGCATCAAAACAATGAAAATAATAACAGTTTTTCTGCAAACAATATACCAAACAGCTCCCACAGATTTCATGCTTTGAATACAGTTTTGTTTTAAAAGCTTTTTAACCTGTAGATATTTAAATACAGGTATTAACAATTGATACTTTACCATTCATTGGCAATTTGTACAATCACATTTCATAAGAAACTTTGCGTAGTCTAAGACTGTGTGTCTGTGTATGTACAGTACTGTAACAATATTTTGGAAAATCTCAGCATATTCTATTAAGACTAATGTACATAGTAAAGTGCAAATGTGACTAGCCTATTTAAAGAAAGAAGGCTTTCATCAGGACTATAGTAGATATAACAAGATCAAATTAGCACTCTGAAATATGCTTTTGGTTTAAAAATTGACATTCAGGTTAATGAAAAAAATAAGACTGTACCTTTTCATTTGACAGGGCTGTAGTGAAATCACGAGAATCGTGTCCATCGTAATTAGAAGTCATTTTATACTCTGTGTGCTTCTTATAGGACCAGGAGCTGTTATAAAACTCATCACTGAAGTCATTCTTAATTTTAACCTGGTAAGATAAATGAAGACTGTTATGGTTTGATTGGGCATCATTGTATTTTATAAATGTAATGCAAACTGTATAGTATGAACATGATAGGAGGGAAAACAGTTAATATGAAGACTCACCTGGAATGTATATTTGACGAGATTCTGAGTCAGTCTGTAGGAAGGTTTATGATCTGCAGTGTACACTTTTCTGCACTCTCCTCCAAAGCTTTTTGTGTTGATGACACTGCCCCTGAGCTTTCCGTTTAAAACATCAAATCTAACCACAAGTAGACAATGGCCACATTAAAAGATTAAGCAAAACATTCCAATTGGACAAAGGCTGAAACCGTGTGATGCTAACCTCTTTTTTGGTTGAAAGCTTTATGCATTCACTTACAGTTGCTTTGCTTTCCTGTTCTTTCAACTGTTGCATCCAAACATTTTCAAACTGCTTTATCCAATGTAGGGCCACAGGGCAGCCGGAACTTATCCCAGCAAGCAACACAATCACAAGGCAGACACACAGACACAACAACACACTCACAGTTATGGCCTTTTCCTACCAGTATGCTTAGGACCGTGGGAGGAAACTAAAGCACACAAAGGAATCCCACATGAACGTACCCCACATGCACATTCTGTACAGAATGCACCCTGGGTTTAAAATTGAACCCAGGGCCCCAGTGCTATGAGGCAGCAATGCTAACTAATGTCCCACCATGTCGCACCTCCTACTGTTCATTCTTATTCAATTTTGCAACTTCACATTTAACACATTGTAATTGCTGGTGCACTTTGAGAAGGCTTACCTGTATATGTAATTAGCAATTTAAAAATGCAAACATAAAAAAGAAAAGCCTAAGCATATTACACCTTAGAAATCAGTTTTTCCAAAAATGGGACTGATTTTATTGCTATGAACGCCAGGTAAAAAGGAATAAGAAGATTCAGATCCTAACCCTTTGCCAGTCAGCTCTACTTTGGGTGGGGGTTGATCATTGTCACACACACTTGATTGATCTGAACATCCTTGTTCATCGGCACCATCTTCCTCACAGTCCTGGTCTCCATTGCACACCAGGGACTTGCTGATGCACAGACCTGAGGAACCCAAGGACATTTTTATCTGGTGGAATGCCAGAGCACTACAAGGTAAAAACCTTTAAGGAGCTAGTTTACAGTATGTATTGACTTAGAAAAAGTAATGACCCTTAGAACATTTTCTGTATTTGTTGCAAAGCTGTAAACCACACATTTGTAAATTGTGTAAATTGTGTTTTATCCAAATAGGAATGGATAAAATGGATGAATGAAGACTATATGCAATGTGTATTATATAGTGTACATACTGTACAAAGCATATGCTACTGTATATAATGCACATGCATGCTTTTTATTTGTTATTAATCATGAAAACATAAAGAAACAATTGGCAAAATACAGAAAGGCTTCCAAAAGCCAGAAGTGTCAAACAAAAGCTGATTTCCATCAAGATAAGATTCTGAAACAATTTGACGTCATTTTGTAAAATTAACCAACCATTACTTTTGTCTAGGTTTTGTCCAATATCTACAGATTTTAAGAGGGCGTACTGTATCCATTCCCACCTGAAGAACAGCGGAATCTGTTGCCACATCCTTCTTCCAGTGGGCACCCTCTAGTGGGCAAACATGCCCGTCTCTCAGTGGATTCACCCGGGCATGGGCTTCCCCCATACTGACCATATGTTTCTACAGTGCGCTTCCGAACCTAAGAACATTAATAACATTTAGAAACTAACGTCCTTTTGACTGTTCAGTCATTATTAAGAACTTTTTGCAGCAAGTAATTGATTCAAAGGTTGCTGAAACTGTTTGACACTATTGAACATCACTGATTATCAACGATAATATACATTACCTGTGTCTTCTTGCAACCATCACACTCTGACCAGTCACCATATGGGCCCCATTTACAATTCACAGGACTCATGCAGCTGTAAAAAGACAAGGGAATCCATGAGAAACACAATTTTATCCCAAAAAAGAAAAGCAGAAATGTGCCCTAAATTTCCAATATTGTATATTATCTCTATCTCATACTAGATGTGGTTATAATCATTGATCATTGTTTTTGTTAAAACCTCAGGAAATTCTAACCTTTCAACTGAAAACTTTTAATTCTGGTAAGAATATACACAAAGAACTGAAACTGCAATATAACATGTTAGACACCTATTCAATAAGGCGTTAATATTGTGAAAAAGTAAAATACATTCTTTTATGAGCACAGTACACCAGACTTATTAATATATAATAATATATTACTACTACTACTACTACTACTAATAATAATAATAATAATAATAATAATGGAAATTATTTCTCCTCTTTGTTGTGATAGCTGTACATTGTTAAAAATATGATATTTCAATTATTGTTATTGTCCTCTTACTCAGAGCAGGTTGCTCGTTTCATACTGTACTTACCTAACTTCTAACAGAAGAAGAAGGCCTGTAAGGCCAGACAGAATCAATGTCATCCACACCTGTAAGAGGTCAGATCAATAATCAGGCAGCTCTAACAAAAGAGAAGTCTGTCCTTGTTGTTGATTTAGAAATAAAGGATTTCAGGAGTACTGTGAACTAAAGAAAGCACACATATGCATATCCTAATACATGCTGTACCTATCACAGTACCTTACTCTTATAATTCAAGACTGTTGCTTGAGCTCAGAACAGATATATCATCCCAAGTAAACAGACTGAAACGTTTTGTTGTAGACTGCGATATAGACATCTCAGATTCTGACTGATATATATTTTATCTAAAACAGCCAGACAGGAACATTTATGGTTCTCTTACCTTCATAGTTAAAGAACAAAAAAATAGCAAGAAGATTTAGTATAAGCTCTGCAGCAGGAGCAACACGTTTGTTGATGTGAAGTGGGAAAACAGTTGTCCACACTTAGCCCAGTCTCTGTGTTTCTGCTTAAAGCTCTGGAACTTCCTGAATAGGCAAACTAAGGACCCTGCAACCTATTGATAAGACAGCTGATTATCATGCTAGCACTATTCTACTGAAGCCTTCCAATTTTCCCTTTCCTGTCTTTCTGCTATCTTTACTTATCAAATACACTCTTTTTTTAGTTCTAAATGGAACATAGAGTTAAGGACTATAATTTACCAAATCCACGCAATTGACAATCTTTACAGTAACTATATTTTTATATAAAAAATTTAAAATTTAAAATTCTATAGAATTACAAATTAATAATTATAGAATATAATGAGGTGACATTTCAACTGAAAACTTAATTAACTTGATTGTTCATGGGTAGAAAAATGTTAATGTTTCAAGCTGTATGTAGAGAATATACAGAAATGGAGAATAAAATACAGTAAATACATAGTAATAGCTACTGTATTTACAATATGTATGTAAAAGGAAACAGCAAAATTATAGTATTTATTTATTATGGCATAAGATTTAACACTAAACTGAATAAACTGAAGTGTGACATACAATTAGAACCACAAATCAAAAACAACTAAAGTGTATTTTTAGGCAGATGAATTATCAAATTGTTACATATTGTTCTCAGTTTTGTATGTGTTATCATATTCACTTCTTTTCTCACATTACAAGGTTAAAATGTTTTTCAGAAGTTACAAGGATCAGCATTCAGAAGGGAAATGGTCTGACGTTCTCTTATCAGAAAGACTGACCATTGTATTAAGTTCCTGAAATAAACATCCTTATCCACAACAGGTTAAAAACATTTCAATGTTATTTGACCTTTCTTTCTTGACGAGGAAAAAAAAAGTGTTATCTTTTATCAACCCCTTCATGACTTTAATTTTTTTTTTTAAATATGCTTTTATATAATTACTTATACAAGATTTTTAATGTGGCTGAGTCTAGTTAGGTAAGAGAAGTAACTAGAATCCACAATTAATTATTTTGTCATAAAGGCTGACAACAAAGACTGTTTGCATGTAGCCAGATCTTAATAATGTTTAAGGCAGAGAATTGTTACAACATAGTGGTTTCTCATAAAATGTCTGTAAAGACAAACTAAAGGTATTTTTTTGCAGTTACAGAACAATATGTCCACGAATTTTAAAAGTTAGGCTAAGAGAAAATTAGTTTTTTTTTAAATGGCCATCATGGATCACCAGTCAACCTACAGTATATTACTCTCTTGGAATATAGATTTTAGATACTTTGAGAAAATTAAATGACTTAGTAATAAAGATCCAAGCTACTGATGTAGCATGTCAGGGGTGTCAGGGGGTTGTGTATGCTTTTGTCTTCTTGTTATGTACCTTTGATGCATACTTTTCAATAAAATGTTGAGTCATTTTACACAACTAAATTTATTCTAATACAGTTCTGGTACTGTATGTCCTTCATACAGTATGTTAAATTATAATCATTATCACTGGGCATTCAGGTTACTGAACTAAAACTTTGGTTGTTTGTTCTCTCAGTCACTCTGAATTGATGCATAATTGAGAATAACCTTGTCTGTTCTTTCTTTTCTGATACATGTACATCTAGATGCATGATGCAAGTGGAGTTTGATGTGCGATTGGATCCAGCCATGAACAAAATTCTTGCATTTAGAAGGAACAAGAGGAACAGTCTACTTGGAGTTCAGGCTTTATGTCTTTTATTATCACGTTCCTCTAAAATCATAGGCATAACATTTTAAATGGAATATATGAACTGAAATTTGAACTGAATGGGATAAGTAGTGGCAACGTAGCTGAATACACTTGGAGAATCAAATAGCTGGCATATGAGCAAGACAAGTCATATGTCTAACCATGATGCACATGCTTGATTACTAAATTTATCTGAAGAAAAACACAGTGATTCTAAAAGTAATTAGCCAAAGCTGCATACAGTACATCCAGTTCAAAACACTAGTTCTCACCACTCTGCTCCTGCCTATCCTTGATCTCTTATCTCTCCAACATCCCATATCTCTACTCCCACTCCTCTTCCTCTTCCTCTGATTCCTCTTCATTTTACCACTTCTAGAGATCTTTATTCTTCACCCTTGCCCTCAATTGTGGAACTACCCACAGTAGTCAGAACTTCCCAGTCCCTGCTCATTGGGGTTTACTCAAGACTCTCTGGTGATCTCCTGTACTCCTGTGATCTTTCCAGCTCTCAACATCTTTTAATATATAATATATTTTCCAGTGTACTTTTATAATATTTTATAATACTTTATTGTACTTTTATAATTGGACTGTAAACAAGATATACTGTACATACCTAGTTTATATTAGTACTCAGTAACCACACTGTCTGAATTCATACTATTTCATGTGTTGGCGTGACGCTTACATTACTTGTCCAATTTGTGGCAGCTTCACTGATATTTAATTTATTTATTCCAGTTGATTATATTCCATATTTGTTCCTTGTACTTATATTTAATTGTCTTCTCCACTTTCTAAATGTACGCCGAGCAAACACAAGAAAGAAAAGTGAAAGATTTCCCATTGTTCCATGCTGGCAGGACGTTTAGATCACTTTATATAAAGTATATACATATACAATACAATTTCCTAGAAATTTGTCACATACTGTACCACAACTTGCTCTGCATGAGACACACAGACAGGGAAAGAAGCTTGGAGTCAAAGCACAGGGTCAGCCACTTAAACGGCACCCCTAGAGCAGTTGGGATTAAGGGCCTTGCTCAGGAGCCCAAAGGAGTAGGATTCCTCTGCCGGCTGCAGGATACAAACTGGCAACCTTCCAGCGACAGGCACAGATCTTTAGCACCGGTGGCTCTACAGGGTTGTGTAGTGCTCCACATGATTCAGTCTTCTGGATCTCCATGGTGGAGACTGACAGGGAGAATTATGCTTAGAAAAGCATACTTAGAAATCACTTAGGATGGTTCAGGGGTTGTGAAAAACCAGGTAAAACATTTTGGACTTTGAAAAACACTCACCACTTTCACCTTCATTGCTTGTTCCCAGCAATGATGGTTATTAAGTTTGCATGATCCCCTGGTACTATGTGCCTGCCTTCAGTTCTCTCACGATAGCTGAGACTAGTGCTAAGGCGGCTGCACTTGTCAAGTCTCAGACTACATCTAAAGAGATGTCTGAGATCAAGACCTTTTTCTTCAACCCTGCAATGGGTAGAATAGCTTCAGGAGCAACTCAACACTTCTGGCTGATGCCCAGCAATAGCATGGACACCTAACACTAGGCCACCTACTGTAACAACAATTACAAAGGTTCTCCAGTTCAGTCACATGCTTCTTTGTCCTTTAAATACCTAAAGGTAAATACCTAATAAAGTCCTATATCTTGACTGAAGAGCTCCAGGAAACCGCAAATGAGTCCTTAACTCAGGTCAGTGTATTATATCACCCTGTGCATATGATTTGCCATTTGTCTATGACAACAATGCCAATGACTGTGGACTTAGGGCTTTCTTGTCATATTTTAAGCATTTAAAATATGATTAGGTTTATACTGTGGGGCTATGATCAGAATTAAAGCTACTGTATGGTTAGTAATTTCAGGTTGGTTATGTCTTAGGCTTTGAACTATAGTGAAGCTTAGAGTTAGGCTAGAGCTAAGTCTAAGTTTGGAAATACTGTAGTCTTTGTGTTAAAGCTAGAGGTAAAACTAGGGTTAGGGTTTCATTTAGCAATAGGACTGAAGCTAGGCTTACCGATATATTATAAAACTGTGCATGACATAAGGTGCTGTTTATTTAATGCTTTATTTATTTTTTTAGCATTAGCCCTGGGCTAAAAAATCAAGTTTTTTTTTCCATGTCGTATTTCAAATTTGTTATGTTGAAATGATCTGTACTATTGATGTATTGATGTAATGGATAAAATGTACTGTAGTACAACATTTGAACTTTGTCATGTAATACTTTCGGTCCAGAAGGAATATGCAGAAAGATCATTACACTCAGTTATACTTAAGTGCTATAACCCAGCTGCTGTTAATATGCATGCCAGCACTGAAGGATCTTACAACAGCTCAAACCAAAAGAAAATAAAAATGTTTTGAGGTTAAAAGTTGAATGTCTCAAACATATTCTTGAACAACGTAGTAAAATACATAAATACATAAATCTTTTTCTTGTTCTCATGAAAAAAAACTGCTTCTAATCCTCCTGGAACTGAAGGGAAGAACAAATTCAACCTGCTCCCATCAGCCAAAAAATTCCTGCAAAAGGTCAGTTGAAAGGAAACACTTTCTTGAGACATGAAGCCAAAATGTGCAGTTCATCTTACAGTACATTTTTCTTCATACATTTTGTTTATTCTTGCATCCTAAAGGTTTTTTTTTACTGAAAGCATTGTATACAGTACATTAATTGGGTTTTATAAAATATATCTGGACTTTTTTTACATTTTATTACAAATATATACAAATTATCTATTAGTTTAGTATTGTATAATCCACTTAGCAATTCTGTCTAAAATGTATCTGTTTTATTGTTTGTGTTATAGGAACTTATCTTACTGATCCACAAGGGGGAAACATAAAGCTGTTTGGAAATCATCAGTACACTGGTGCAGTAAGCTGAATACAGTAGGCAAGTAATAATCACGACAACATTCAGAAATCATTTCCATAAGGGAAAAATAAAAATAAAGGATGCAAAATAAAAAACAAATCCATTCTATGCAATCTACTTTATCTGAGTGAAACTAAATGGAAATAACAAAATGTTCTGAGCTTTGACATGGAAAATATCAAATTTGTTTTGTTGTTGTCTGATTTCCTATGTTTCTATGACAATATACAGCAACGTTAAAAAAATAAAATAAAAAACCTTATTGCAGCACCAGTAACAATTTTGCTTAGACATTTTACTTTGTTTGACTTGGTAAAAAAAACATTCTTCCTTCTCCATGGGTTCAAATCAGTTTTTGGTTCAGATTGGGGTTTGTATTATCTATCACTAGAAGTGATCAACCCCCATTATTCTTAATAATAATAATAATAATAA